CCAAAAAAAAAAAAAAAAAAAAAAAAACGAAATCTACACTCTGACCACCAGGATCAAGGTCAAGTGAAAGACAGGACAGTAGTTCTCCCAGCAGAGCAGGGCAGGAAAAACCTGAGAACCAGGGTTCTTTTCTTTTCTTTTCTTTTTTTTGGAGAGGTTTTTGCTATAGGGTGTGTGCACTCACCAGAAAGACAGAGAGAGACAGAAAGCAAGAAATTGCCCCCCGCGGTGGGGGTGATGGCCACATCGCAATCCTTTCTCCATTCTCCTCTTGGGACCTTGGGCACTTGTGGGTCAAGGACTCAAACCATGGTCCACTATGTGGGAGTCAAGATAACCATTACATCATCTGCTGATTCCAGCAATTTGAATTTTTTGTTTTTCATTTTTTTTGAGAGAGATTTTCACTATAGGGCACATGCGCTCGCCAGACAGACAGAGAGAGACAAAGAGACAGAAAGCGAGAAATCACCCCCCAGGGGGGATGGTCACGCCGCAATCCCTTCTCCTCCATTCTCCTCTCGGGATCTTGGGCACGCACGCACACGCTCCCAGTGTGAGTTTTAAGCCACCGGGTCCGGGACGCGAACCACAGTCGACTACGTGGGAGTCCAGCGACATAGCCATTACGCTAACTGCTGGTTCCCAAATTTTAAAACACACTATGAAACTCATGGTAGAAGCAATAAATAGATTTCAGAAGGTTTTAAATTTCAAAAGTTTCTGCTTTTGATTGTCAAAGTTTAAGGCCAGTGCTTGAACTGGGCCAAAGCATGACCAAAGATTTGGAAGACCATTGCCCAGCCCAACATTGGTTGCTTCCTTGGGGGGAGTGGGAGGACGGGAGAAGGCAGAGAGAGGAGAAAGGGTGACTGAGCCAGGGTGTACCTGAGGAGCGGCCTGTGTATATGCCACCTCTTCCTCACTCCAAGACCAAATCTCCAATGGGGTGGAGACAGAACCCCACAAAGGAGATGAGGTGCAACTTGTCTCCTGGACTGTCTCTCTTGAGCACTGGTTCCATGGTGACGTGGCCTGGACTGTGTAGCCCCACACCCCCCATAGTTTATATGCTGGAGTCCTAACTCTGACCACCTCAGCATGTAACTGCATCTGGAGGCAGGGCCTTTGGAGAGTGGGTAGATTAAGGGCAGCAGGTTGCACAGAGGTTAAGATGGCTGGATCCCACAGATGGCCAACTGTGGGGCTTGAGTCTCAAACCTAGCCGCTTAAAAAAATCATGCTGTGAGTGACCACCAGATGGCATAAGGATTACATTGCTGGGCTCCCAAATAGTCGACTATGGTTCAAGTCCCAGACCCGGTGGCTTGAAATTCATGCTGGGCACATGTGCATGTATGCCCAAAATCCTGAGAGGAGAATGGACGAGAAGGAATTGCAGCATAGCCATACCCCCTGGGGGTGATTTCTTGTTTTCTGTCTCTCTGCTAAGTGCA